TGTAATGATACGGTTCCCTGCGTGACCTACACTCTCTCCCAACGCGTCGCTCTACCGATCTAACGCTTTGTATCGTTTTGTTAGGACTCATTTTCACTTCGTTTCCTGTCTGTCTCAAAGTTATTAAGGTAAAGCAAATTAGTGGAAGTCCAACAGGATTGTAAATGGTAATTTTGAAAAATTAGAGTGGAAAACGGTTGAAGGATGGAGGAGGAGGGGCAGCTTGAAGCTGTTACCATGACGAAACAATATCCTTGGAAGTAAAACACAAAAATTTGGAGAATAAGCTTCAAATGTTCGAAACAACTTGTAGAGGCATTACAAAGCACAACTTGGCAGGGCGCTTAGATAACCAAGAAGTTGGTTAAAGAGGGATGTTTCAAGGAGCATATTACTTCCCTTGCCTCCTTTAATGAGCCATAAAGGTTTCGGGACAGACTTCCAGATCTTTGAGCATCGGTAGGTAATCAGTACAACTTTGCGACTTTGCAAATCCATTGTTGCATAGCTGTAGGGAGTTGTGCCAAAAATGGATGGGCTATCCTGCAGGAAAATCAAGCAGCAGTCGAATAAACTCATGTTCCTCAATGATAGACCCTTAATCAACATACTCACTGTATACTTAAAAATTGTTGTCTTTTGGATTACGTGAGCATTTATCAGGCCCACATTGGAGGCAGTAACCAATCAATGCAGGAGAGAGGTTGACGGCTTAGCAGCATGGTCTAAAGACAACAATCTCTCCATTAATGTCAGAAAAATGAAGGAGCTAATCATTGACTTTCGGAGTGGAGGGCGCATCCCTGTCTGCGCCAGTGGTGCTGAGGTGAAATGATCCAGAATGTTAAGTCCTCGGAGTGATGATCACCAACAATCTATCCTGGTCCACCCATGTTGGTGCAACAGCCAAGAGCATACAGCGACACCTCTACTTCCTCAGGAGGCTAAGGAAATTCGGCATGTCCATAAAGACACTTATCAATTCTTACAGATGCACCGTAGAAAGCATCCTCTCTGGATGCATCACAGCATGGTATGGCAACTGCTCTTCCCAAGACTGCAAGAAACTACAGAGTCATGAACACAGCGCAGTATTTTTCAGCCTTCCATCCATTGACTCCACATATACTTCCCGCTGTCTTGGGAAAACAACCAACACAATCAAAGGCCCCTCCTACCCCAGTTATACTCTCTTCCATTGGGCAGAAGATATTAAAGTTTGATTACACGCATGAAAGATTCAAGAACAGCTTCTTCCCCGCTGTTATCAGACTTTTGAATGGACCTCTTAAATGTTAACGTTGATCTCTCTCTGCACCTTCTCTGTGGCTCTAACACTCTATCCTGCACTTTGTGTGTTACCATCTGTCTGTAGAGGATGCAAAACAACACTTTTCACTGTATCTCGGTATATGTGGCAACAATAAATCAAATCAAATCGAAATCAGCTACACCTATTTTGCATTTCACACCCTTTATTACACCATTAGCACTTACTTTATATTTTACCTGAGGACTGTCACCATCTGTTCCTTTCACTCCTCATCCTCCTCCCTTTGCATAAAAGCCATGATTTTCCAGTGTCTGCCTGTACTGAAGAGTCATATCGGACTCAGCATTAACTTTTTCTGTCTCCATTGATGCTGCCAGACTGTCTTAAGTTTCTCCAGTATTTCCTGTTTTATTTCAGATTTCCAGCATCTATAGCATTTTGCTTCAACTTTTATGAAAGGAAAAATTGTACACTTGTGTGAAGGCTAGTGGCAGGTTTGAAGAATGTGCAGAATATTTTTTAAAAATGCGAAGTTTGATCACAAAAATGAATAAGGAAGAAATTAGAGAAGAGAAAACTAGCTGAAAATATAGAAGTTTTTTTGGGAAATTTTGAAATATCCATGTTGTTTTGATCTGCAAGACTGCATTGAAAGTTTTATCAAGAGAAAATATTTTTCACTTTTATTCATTCGGCATTTTTTCCCTAGGGCTCAGCCGATCCCCTTAATAGTGCATTTCATCTGACCTATAACATGGTTTTAAACCTTCTTCGTGTTGAAGAGATCAATCCTGAATACATGTTGGAAAAATCCTTCTACCAATTCCAGAATTACAAGGCAATCCCAGGGGTGGTGGAAAGTAAGTGTCATTATTTTTCCCAGGTTTCACAGTTTATTAACTTGATGTAATGTTTCTAATTTTAATGATACTGTTTCTTTTTCTTTGTTCGTTCACGGGATGAGGGCATCACTGGCCAAGCAGCATTTATTGCCCGTCCCTAATTGTCCAAAGGGCAGTTAAGGGCTGTGGGTCTGGATACACGTGTAGGCCATCCAGGTAGGGATGTGAAACAGATAGTTTTTTTTCCCCCCAACAATCAACACTAGATTTGTGGTCATGGTTTGATTCTTAATTCCAGATTTTTTTTTTATTGAATTCAAATTCCACCATCTGCCATGGCAGGATTCAAACCTGGGTCCCCAGAACATTGTCTCTGGGTTAACAGTCCAGCGCTAATACTGCTTGGCCATCTCCTCCCTTAAGGATGAAAATGTACCAATTGTGGTTGTTTTGTTTTCATAATTTGATTAATATTTACAAACTTCATCTTGGGGGCATAGTGAAATCAATGTAACTAATATTTAATAAATGTATCTTCAATGAAGCCTGAGTTCTGTCAGATAGTTGCCAGATAGTATGTTAATTACAGCTAAAACCAATAGTCACAATTGTGTGAAACTGCCTCATGTGGCAAAATGTTTATAAGTATTCACAATTACTGTTTTGAGGCTGATCCCAATCTTGGTAGTATCTAAAAGGTCCACAACCTCTGGCTACTCATCTCTTCACTCACACCCAGTTATATTTGTTCCCTATACTTAACTCTGCTATGTAGAAATCAGTATACTATTCAGTATTCTGGATCATACATGAAACACACTATCCTTTGCATTACAGTGTTCCAACCCACCCCCTTGTCTAGTTGTCATTCACCTGTTCTTCATGGTTCAATCCATGGATGTAAATGCTTGCATCTGAAAGTCATGGCACACTCATGCTTATTCTCCTCTTCACTATCCCTTTTATTCACATCATTGATATTACACAGGTGTACTGACTAGACCAGGGGTTGCCACACATCAATCGCGAGCAAATGATAGCTCACCCTCTGCCAGAGTACCTTGTATTAGGATTTTAAAATAACCATTAGATTACAGGATTCAAGTCTTATTATTAACAGTTTAAAAAAAAGCTCTAAATAGTAGATCTCATTTCAAAAAGTATTTTAGACTCACATGTGTTGGGATTGCATTTTCAATGTAGCTGCAGTCCCTTCCTTTCTGCTATAAACTGTGAATCTTCAGTGTTAAAGACCAATACTATAACACGTTGTATTTGTTCTGTGGAAAGAAGTTTTTCTTGCACTTCTGAAGTTTTCTCCTGCAATGTACCAAATTGATCAGCGCAAATGATTTCAGCATGAAACTACAAATTCCTAATCGTGAGCATTTTCTTCCTCCTGATCTTAGAAATAAATGAGATGCTGTGCCTTTCATAAATGGTATTAAACTCAAAACATGCCTTAAAACTACTGGGTTGCCAGTTTCATTTTCTACATTTACTCTCTTTTTGATTTTTGAAACTGCTAATTAGTGCCCAATTATGACACTCGTGAATTCACACCCATTATAACTGGCTGGAAATTGCACCAGTTCAGTTCACTTAGTATCAACATACTAATATTTACAATGTGTATATATTTAGGAAGGATTTAAACCGAAGTTGCTGTAGATAATAGAAATGCGATGACTGTCATCTCCTTTGACATGTACCCTTTCGGTGACATTTTTGCAATTTGCTCAACTTTCCATTTAGCCAATGCTACTATATCGGCAAAAGAGTAATAATGAAAATGCTGGTTTCCCCTCAACTGGAATATTCTGACCAATTCTGCACACTGAAGTTTAGGGACTATGTGATAGTTTGAGAGACACCATAGAGAAACTGGGATACCTCTCCTTCAAGAAGAGAAATGAGAGATTATTTGATAGAGGTCATAGGTTCTTGAGTAGATTTGTAGCTCGGGTTGTGGATTCTGTGGTTGGTTTGCTCACCGAGCTGGTTCATCAGTTTGCGTACGTTTCATTACCCTGCTGGGTAACATTATCAGTGCAACTCCAATGGACCCCAGAGTTTAAATAACAAGCTGGAAACTCAACAACGCTTCGTTGAAGTTGCACTGACGTTACCCAGCAGGGTAATGAAATGTCTGCCAGCTAACGAACCAGCTTGGTAAGTGAACCAGCTACAGGTCCTAGAGTCATAGAGATTGACAGCATGGAAACAGACCTTTCAGTTCAACTCTTCCATGCTGACCAAATATCCTACATAAATCTCATCCCACTTGCCAGCATTTGGCCCATATCCCTCCAAACCCTCCTTGTTCATATGCCCATCCAGATGCCTTTTAAATGTTGGAATCATACCAGCCTCCACCACTTTCTCTGGCATCTCATTCCATGCACACACCACCCTCTGCGTGAAAAAGTTGCCCCTAAGGTCCCTTAAATATCTTTCTACTCTCATCTTAAACCTATGCCTTCTAGTTTTCGACTCCCCCACCTTGGGGAAAAGACCTTGCCTATTTATCCAATCCATGCCCCTCATGATTTTACAAACTTCTATAAGGTCACCCCTCAGCCTCCGATGCTCCAGCCTATTGAGCCTCTCCCTACTGCTCAAACCCTCCAAACCTGGCAACAAGCTTGTAAATTTTCTCTCTACCATTTCTAGTTGCACAGCATCCTTCTTTTAGGAGGGAGACCAGAATTGCATGTAATACTCCAAAACTGGCTGAACCAATGTTGTGTACAGCCGCAACATGATCTCCCAACTCCTGCACTCAAGGCAAGCATACCGAACACCACCTTCACTATCCTGTCTACCTGTGACTCCACTTTCAAGGAACTATGACCCTGCACTCCAAGGTATCTTTGTTCAGCAACACTCCCCAGGACCTTACCATTAAGTGTATAAATCCTGCCCTGATTTGCCTTTCAAAAATACTGCACCTCACGTTTATCTAAATTAAACTCCATCTGCCTCTCCTTGATCCATTGGCCCATCTGATCAAGATCCTTTTGTACTCTGAGGTAACTTCCTTTGCTGTTCACTACACCTTCAACTTTAGTGTCATCTGCAAACTTACTAACCATAAGTCCTGTGTTCACACCCAAATCATTTATATAAAATGACAAAAAGCAGTGGACATAGCACCAATCTCATGATGCACTGATATTTGTGGCACACTGCTGGTCATAGGCCTCCTGTCTAGAAAACAACCCTCCTCCATCGACTTCTGTCTTCTACCTTCGAGCGAGTTCTGTATCCAAATGGCTAGTTCTCTCTGTATTCTGTGTGATCTAACCTTGCTAACCAGTCTACCATGAGGAACCTTGTCGAACTGCTGACTGAAGTCCATATAGATCACATTCACCGCTCTGCCCTCATCAGTCCTCTTCGTTGCTTCAAAAAATTCAATCAAGTTAGTGAGACACGATTTCCCATGCACAAAGCCATATTGACTATCCCTAATCAGTCCTTGCCTTTCCAAATACATGTAAAGCCTGCCTCACAATTCCCTCCAACAACATGTCCACCACCGATGTCAGGCTCACTGGTCTACAGTTCCCTGGCTTTTTCTTACCACCTTTCTTAAATAATGGCACAACGTTAGCTAATCTCCAGTCTTCCAGGACCTCGCCTGTAGCTATTGATGATACAAATATCTCAGCAAGGGTCCCAGCAATGTCTTCCCTTGCTTTCCACAAAGTTCTAGGGTACACCTGATCAGGTTCGGGGATATTATCCACCTTAATGCTTTTTAAGATGTCCAGCACCACCACTTCTGTAATATGGACGTCTTCCAAGATGTCACTATTTATTCCCCCACGTTCTCTATCTTCCATATCCGGTTCCACATGTAGGCAACCTTGCTGATCTTTAAGAGGCTGTATTCTCTCCCAAGTCACTCTTTTCTCCTTAATGTATTTCTAGAATCCCTTTGGATTCTCCTTAACCCTATTTGCCAAAGCTATTTCATGTCCCCTTCCTGATTTCCCTCTTGAGGTATACTCCGACTGCACTTATACTCTTCTGGAGATTCACTTGACCCTGGCTGTCTGTACTTGGCATGTGCTTCCTTCTTATTCTTGATCAAAACCTCAATTTCTCTAGTCATCCATCATTCCCTACATCTGGGCCTTGCCTTTCACCCTAACTGGAGCACACTGTCTGTGGACACTCGTTATCTCATTTTTGAAGGCTTCCCATTTTCCAGCCATTCCTTTCCCTACAAATATCTGCCCCCAATTAACTTTTGAAAGTTCTTGCCTAATACCAGCAAAATTGGCCTTCCTCCAGTTTAGAACTTTTAACTTTTAGATCCGGCCTATCCTTTTCCCTCACTATTTTAAAGCTAATAGAATTATGGCCACTGGCCCCAAAGTGCTCCCCCATTGACATAAGTCACCTGCCCTGCTTTATTTCCCAAGAGTAGGTCAAGATTTACACCTTCTCTAGTAGGTACATCCACATACTGAATCAGAAAATTTTCTTGTGCACACTTAACAAATTCCTCCCCATCCAAGCCCTTAACGCTATGGCAGCCCCAGTGTATGCTTGGGAAAATTAAAATCCCCTACCACAACCACCCTATTATTCTCTCACATTACTGAGACCTCCATACAAATTTGTTTGTCAATTTCCAGCTGACAATTGGGAGGGATGGTAGTACAATCCCAAAAAAGGTGATTATCCCTTTCTTATTTCTCAGTTCCACCCACATAACTTCACTGGACATATTCCCAGGAGTATCCTCCTTAAGTACAGCAGTAATGTTATTCTTAATCAAAAACGCCATTCCCCCCTCCTCTCTTACTCCCCTTTCTATCCTATAGATATATTCTATCTATACCCTTGAACATTAATCTACCAGTCCTGTCCGTCCCTGAGCCATGTCTCTGTAATTGCTATGATATCCCAGTCCCAAGTTCCCAACCATGCCCTGAGTTCATCTGTCTTACCTGTTGGGCCTCTTGCATTGAAATAAATACAGTTTAATTTATTAGTCCTACCTC